CTAGTAGTATGGCCAGGAGCCCCTAGTAGCGTCCTTGCTCCTAGTAGTAAGGCCAGCAGTATGGCCAGGAGCCCCCAGTAGCTTCTTGTTACTAGTAGTAAGGCCAGGAGCCCCTAGTAGCTTCTTGTTACTAGTTGAGTTTCCCTAAACATCTAGAAACCAAATGAATAGTGCGAGCGCTTCTTCAAGGAAGCTCCTCTCCGCCACCTTTAGGGCGGTGGGGTGAGCTTCCTTGAAGAAGCGTGAGCTATCCTGCGTCCATACTAGTGGCTTAAGTAAGGTACTAGCCTACCTACCTCACCTACCTCCTAGCGGCCTACCCCCCCAAAAAACACATATTGAAGTGTCATTATCAATTTTCGTTTGTCAGTGCAAAGCTCTATTTTCGGATACCATGGTTGCAACAGTCTTGAACCTTGAAGAGGATCTGGCAAACATATTTCTTCATTTGATGAGGTCCTTGATGGCCCTTTGCTTCTTTTTGAATATCAGGATGCCAAAGCTTTTCCAAGTATTGGAAGCTGCGGACACCCTGAGCTCTGCTCTCCTCCTTGCGTCTACTTCGCTTGGGGTCCGTGTGCCAAGGCAGCCTTTTCTTTTTCACAAACATAGCCAGAGCGTCACTGACATGGCTGCGCTCAATAATCCTTTTGCTTGTTGCTTCAGGGTGCATATTGCGGCTTCTGTCACATGGCACATCGTGCACCCATTGGAAAGTTGGACACAAGGCAGGGCTATCAGGGTTTGACACTGGGGGCTCCTGGCCATACTACTAGTAACAAGAAGTTTCTAGGGGTTCCCTGCGATACTACTAGGAGCAAAGAAACTACTAGGGGCTCCTTTGATCAGGTTACCTCTATAAGTCGGAGAAGTCACATGATCACTACCCAAACTCGAACTCACTCATTTGACCCGAACACTAAACATTTGAAGGCACCTCGCTCCACCTCGCTGCTAGTAACAAGGGCAGAGCAAGAAGCTAGTAGGTTCTGGCCTCACTACTAGTAACAAGGACACTACTAGGAAGCTACCAGCCTTACTAGTAACAATTCATCCCAAGTCAAATCCTGGCGCTCCGCTCTTCGAACAGACCGGGAAGAAATATACTAAGGGTTTTTGCTTTGCTTGGGTTCTTGTTCCTAACTATTTTTGAAAGGATCTTTCAGGGTTTAAGCTACCTCCCAGAACAACCAATTCGGAATTGGAACACCATGACAACCGCGGTGACCTATGACAACCGACCGCAGATAGAACCTTCCGGGAGCGTCTGAAGTTACCAGTCGCCGTTTCAGCAACCAAGCGTTCAGCCACTAAACCGTCTCTAGCAGCTTCAAGCAGCTGTTTCTTCAGGGTGTCCCAAGCGGTCTCACAGCTTTGTTTCGACGACATCGCCATCAGATGGCCGTGTATTAAAATAGGGTGGGGGAGGGTCAGGATGGCACGCTATGCAGTGTAGTGATATGCCTGTTTACCAAAGCGGGCCTTTTGTTTTGCAGTGTAGCTCCTAGTAGCGATGCCAGGAGCCCCTAGTAGCGTTCTTGTTACTAGTAGTAAGGTAGCGTCCTTGCTCCTAGTAGTAGGGCCAGGAGCCCCTAGTAGCTTCTCGTTCCTAGTAGTGGGGCCAGGAGCCCAGCAGCGTTCTCGTTACTAGTAGTAAGGCCAGGAGCCCCTAGTAGCGTCCTTGCTCCTAGCCCAGCAGCGTTCTCGTTACTAGTAGTAAGGCCAGGAGCCCCTAGTAGCGTCCTTGCTCCTAGTACTAGGGCCAGGAGCCCCTAGTAGCTTCTTGTTCCTAGTAGTAGGGCCAGGAGCCCCTAGTAGCGTTCTTGTTACTAGTATTAAGGCCAGGAGCCCCTTTTAGCGGCCTTGCTCCTAGTAGTAAGGCCAGGAGCCCCTAGTAGCATCCTTGCTCCTAGTAGTAGGGCCAGGAGCCCCTAGTAGCTTTTTTGTTCCTAGTAGTAGCGTTCTTTTTCCTAGTAGTAGGGCCAGGGGTACACAACTACGGCCCTCGTGCCTCAATATTCTAAAACGTGCTCTCTTAGCCCGACCCGGGTAGGATGGGGCCGCTCATATACAGGAGGATTTGCACTTCGTCCCGAAATGCCTAATTCCAACGCCGTTCAGAAAACGCTGATCCAGTATGCGGCAGATTTGCATTGCAAACCTCCTTATCGCCCGGATGGCCTTGTGCCCATGCGACACGTCACCCCATCGTTGGTCGCTGTTGATGCGATTCCTTTGGCATTTGACCAAGCTTTTCTCTATCGCCGCAACCTTCGAAAAACTTGGAATAAACATGGCAACCATTCCGACCGCCCCTAATTAGGAATTTACCACCTTTGATGCCTGCGTGCTGCGCGGATATTCGGTTTCACATACATAGACATCATCGTAAGGGCTTCGCCCGGGTGCCGCCGACCCCCTTTCAGGAGGAGTGTAGCATGTGTAACTAAAGGCGTTTGCGTAGTTCCGGTGGCGGCCCGTCTGTAGAGAGAAGGTGGGCGTTCTAGCCTTAGGAGGCTGCAGCTAGGGAGCGCAAGTACTATGCACGGTCGTGGTGGGCTGGGGTGCTGCAGGGGCAGTGGTTTGGACAGGACTTGATGAATGTGGAGTTTAGGGGAGTCCAGTGGCCATTTGGCCAACAAAGGACAACGCGCGCGGATCGGCAAGCGTTTGTGAGGGCCTTGCCTGGCAGCTCAGAGCTGACCAGCAGAGACTTGCGGTGATGCAGCCCA